TATATATATATAAAGGATCAGAGTGGGCTTCAGTTTGATATGTTGTTCATTTCAGCTTCTACAACCATTGAACATGCACATTTCTGCGCCGGGTCCGATTGCTGCTTCATGGTGTCCCACTTGGATGCATGAGTTCTGGGAAGATTGGAATGATTTCAGCAGTTGTCAGTAATAGTCACACGCTTTTCCGTCTAATTAGTAATACGGACTCAAGAGAATTATGCGTACTTGAACTAATTGAGGAGTCTGACGACACGCTGATTCACATTCACCAACGCCATCTTAATCGATGGACTGAGGATTTCGAGACTCAGTGCATCTAGTCCCCATAGCCATTAAGGCTGTCAAGCTGTATATCGACTGGGCAACCACTACAGGTGATATCAGTCATCCATCTGAAATGGAGGTTTTCAAAGAAATAATTTATGTAAAACGACATAAAACCTCCGCCTCAGAGAATACCCTCATCAGTTTTTAAGGATGAGAGTTGGAGTTGATGTAACTCTTGTGCTCAACGTCGGAGAGGGAAAAAATTCCAACTGAATGGTGCGGATCGCTCATTCTACCGACTTACAAGAAAGGAGATGGTTCCTCTAGTTGAAACCACGGAGCAAATCTAAACTTCCCGCTGGCATCATACTCTGTCGGCTGTCTGCTGTGCGCGAAGAGTGCACGCTTGAGAATAGGACTGCTTTTAGACCTGGTCGATTTTGTATCGACTGCACTTTAACTCTTTGCCAAACTCCGGACCAAATACTCCGTTCAAAGACCCGCCATTTTTGTCCTTCTCGATTTGAAAGCAGCTCTCGACTAGCTCCACCGCTAGCGCCACTCACCCACTCTATACTCACATTATTGCTTCGTGCAAACCAGGAACAGATACCCCACAACCATTCAGAGAACCAAAGAATGCTCCGTTCGCTGTGGTGCCGAAAAATTAGTCTCGTCCACCACCGATAACCGAAAAGTTTGGTCTGCTTCTGACCCTGTCTGCGGGGTGTGCTCGAGAAGTTTATTTGTAGTTTGCTACCTCTTTAAACTTATATCCGAAGCCGAGTCTGAGCCTACGGTCATTTTTCATCCGAGTTCACTACAGAAAGCAGTGTTCGCCAGTGTTGCCCCCTATCCCCTTTTCTAGTTAACTTCGTTATAGGTTTGATTATGAAACAGCTCTGTCGTCGTGCGAGGCTAGTGTTATTGAGTCGCTCCCGGGTGATAGGCTGTCTTATCTGAAGTATGTGGACGACATTGTGCTGCTAAGTGAAGATCTGGGTAAGCTGAAAGCTTTTCTGGATGGCTTGAGTGCTAGTGTAGGCGTATTCGGTTTACGTTTTGCAATTTCAAAGTGTAAAATGTTTCTATAGGACTGGGCTGATCTAGCTGCCAACCTCACTCTCGTCGGAGAATAAATGGAGCAAGTAGACAAATTTCGCCATGTGGTTAGCTACATCTCACTTGGCGACCGCATCACGGATTTTCAAGGTGGACGACGTCGTTTCTTGTGGGGAAATTCGGTGTTTGACAGGATCAATCCGTTATCCGCCCGATTAACCTGGATTGCATGTGGACCGCAAAGAACCCTTTGTGGTTCGTCCAACGATCCCACCTGAGCGTAGATGTCTCAAGTGACTACTAGGATGTCCGTTAGTATATCACTTTGGAATAATTGAGAAAGATCCTTGTAGGGATAATCATTCATTTCAGGTGCACTGCACGACGAATGAGCATTCAGTCTGTAACTGGTAACCAGCACTGAACCGGCACACAATCAGCTGCTGACTGGAATGTAGTCAAAAAGCGGGTGCTCAGCCTTCACCGTCATCGTATAGCGAAATATAGTGAGGCGAACTTCATTGATCGCTGCCAAACTCGCAATGCCAGCCGGGTTGGTGGTAATATTTGAGGTGGACGCGTATTGAACCTATTTCGGGAGGGAGAAGAAGACGAACCACTATGGTCAACACACAGAGTGCACAATCGAACTCTGCATACATACGGTTTCGAGCGTTTCTGATAAAAAATGATAACAAGAAGGCCACTGCTGTCGATTCGCTTCGATATCCTTCAATGCCTCCAACCAAATGGTTACGAGGTCTTTCGGACCGCAACCTGGGAGGTGAGAGACACCTACTCTGCCTAATGGCTCCGTGCATTTCTTCGTACCTCGTCTCCACATCATCTGTTGACCTCCACGTTTTTTCCTCCAGCCCGGAGCGGCTACAGCGATTAAGTCACGGTGCAGCAGATGACAGCTGGGCATACGCAATATGTGCCCTAGCCAGCGAATTCTAATATTCTGAATTCGATATGCTAGCAGGTTTATGCCTGACAGACTTTCAAACACTCGACGGTTCTGCAACATGACTTTGCACTTTAAGGTGCAAAGCACATACTGAATGTGCCAGCCGCGCTTGTCAGTTTATCAAGTCATTCGCGCGTCCTTCGTACATTCGAAC